CTTTCAGAGTTCCTTTTGTCTATCTCTGTGTTGCGTTCTAATTAATTTTTTTGGAATGTGTCCTCAAGTTCACACACATTTCTTTCCTAGTTGGTGTAATGTGCTATTTAACCATTTCATTATGTTTTTAATTTAAATTATCATGCTTTTCATATCTAAAATTCTTATTCAATACTTTTTCAGATATGGTCACTTTTCACAGTCTCTCATTCTTTATTATATTTGATTTCTATTGTTGTCATGAAAAAAACTACCATAAATTTAGTGGCCTAAAACAATAGTCATTACTATCTTAAAGCTCTGTAGATGAACAGGCCGGTCCAAACAAGTCTCATAGGACCAAGATCGAGGCCTCCCTCTGCTGCCCTCCTTAATGGAGACTCTTAAGGAGAAGCTACTCCCAGGCTTCCCACATGTTGGCAGAGTTCAGTTCCATGCGCCTGTAGGACTGACGACTCTGTTTCCTTGCTGGGTTTCAACCAGGGGTCATTCTCAGCTTCCAGAGGCTTTCTGCATTCCCTGGTTTATAAATCCTTTCACCTTCAAAACCGCCAATATTGGGTCCATCCTGCTCATGCTTTCAATCTCCCTGATTTCCCCTTGTCTCATCTTACCCCCTTGATCCTTCGACCTTCCTCTTTTGCTTCTTAAGGCTCATAGGATCACACTAGGACCACCTGAATAATCCAGGATAATCTCCATCGTTTAAGGCTGGCTGAATCCATGTGTAAAACCTCTTCACAGCAGTACCTAGATCGGGGTCTGACTGAGTAACCAGGAGCCAGAAGTCTTAGGGAGACATTTTCAGCATTCTTCCTACCACAATTACATTTACAATACTCTCTTTTATATTCTCAAACATACTTCCTCATCTTATATTCTCTATCTGATAATTAGAGTATCTGTTGTCTTTGCACTTGGATTGTTTCTTTTGTTCATGTTGCTCTTGAACAGTAGTGTTTTCTGTCTTAGCATAATTGACAAGTTTCGATCATAATCTCTTGTCGAGCTTTAATCTTAGTAATATGTTGAGCCCCAGGTTGAAGAAAGTGTTCCTTTTTTTGCCAGGTACTTAGGCACACTATCAACCCGGAATTGTTTTAAAATAAAGTTTGGGATTAAGGGTTTGGTCTCTCCCCCACCCCCCTCCCCACACTGGTATTGGCCCATAACCTGCACATTGTGAATTCTCTGGGGGAGATTCTTTCACCCAGTGCATAGGCCAAGACATCGAGGTTCCCTTGAGGTTTCCCTTTATAAGATGGGATTTTGTCCTAGCTCACATCTTTTCAGAGAACACAGCCCTTTGAGATCCTCACTCATAGTTTTCCACTCAACCCACAACTTGCTTGGGTCCTGGGTTTGTCTCCCATCCCTTGTTCCTTGTATTTCTGTTAAAGAAAATGTGGGATCCCTGGGTGGCGCAGCGATTTGGCGCCTGCCTTTGGCCCAGGGCACGATCCTGGAGACCCGGGATCGAATCCCACGTCGGGCTCCTGGTGCATGGAGCCTGCTTCTCCCTCTGCCTGTGTCTCTGCCTCTCTCTCTCTCTCTCTCTCTCTCTCTGTGACTATCATAAATAAATAAAAATTTAAAAAAAAATAAAGAAAATGTTGAGCTCTCTAGGGATTAGCAGTTGCCACGTCTGCATTCTTGCTGATGCTCCATCATCTTTCTCTTTGGAGGATTTCCATTATTTTCTTCCTGACACAGAATGCACATAATACAATATTTTTTTATTATTATTATTTGGCTTTAAGATCTACTCCCCTCAAAACTGCCCCTAGTATCTCCACCACTATACTATAAGTAAGAAAAGTCCCTTTGTTTCTTTTTAAACGCTGTGTCTTTTTCTTCCAAGGTAAATGAAGATCCCCATATTTGGAAAAACCCTTTAGCTTCTGCTTTGGTTATGTGCTGTTTCACTGTTTGCTCTTGGGCTAGTCTGGTCTTGCTTCTACAATGGGGACCTGTGTTTTTGATATGTGTGTTTTCAAAACTTACCTAGCAAATTTTTCCTTTGACTAAAGTGCTTCATTTTTGAATAACATGGCTAATGGTGTCCTAGACTAACAATTTTAACCTTTCCTTTTTAGATTATGTTAGAGTACTAAAACTGACCCAGTTTGTTTGAGTGTATTCTTTTGTTTTTAGTACAACCCTCCCCCTCCTAAAAATTAAAAAAAAAATTTAATTTGGTGAAATTCACATAGTCGAGCAAAGATAGTCATTCATTAACTGAATCAGTAATATTTTGGAATAAAAGGACGGATGACACAGATCTTTATCATATATTTAGCCATGGCAGAGATAGAATAATATATTTAATAACAAATCTTTGAAATATAATCCTATGCAGTACACATGTCAAGAAACCGTTCAGGTATCAGGATAATTTTTTTTAAATCAATTTTGGCTAATAGGATTAATTAGTACCATTGGCAAAAAGCATACTTTCCTAATGTCCAGGCTGAAAGGAGAGAACAAAGCCTTGGATACCAAGTGAGGTGGAAAGAGTGCAGACATTTGAAAGGAAGGAAGTCTGAGTTCTGGAGATGCTGACATGTTCAGAGGCCGTTGGGGTGAGTGAAGGATCCACACATGTCGGTGGAGTCTTCCACGCACTTGCATGAACAGACAGTAAATAGGCACTTAGTGAAATTGCTACTATTATCTAGACAAGATCCAACCCTAAGTGAGATACTGGGATTTAAAGTGACAAGGATTTCTAGTTAACCTTTAAGTAAGGATGAGGATAATGACAAAAACACTATCTACCATAGAGTGGGAGGACAGAGATTTGTTTGATCATCTTTCCAACTAAAAGAGCTTGAGAACTTTGATGTAAATGGAACAAATGTGAAATGGATGAGTTTAGTCATTTTTGATATATCAACTAAACAGAAAGATGTAGCAAGAGAATGATATGGCTCACTTAAACAAATTTTGACTATTACTTTTCCTGTACTCAGCTGGCAGCTGTTGGAAGTAATTCATTAAAATGATTCAAGTTGAAATGTTTATATTATTTTCTTGAGAGCAAAACTTACTCATTCTAATTTGAAAAGTCATTTCATTTTTCATAATTAAAATGTATTCATCACATAATTCAGCAGTGATAAATTGAATGACTAGAAAAAAGCCCAAAAGAAATACTATTGATCTTAAGTAAATATGTAACATATGATAGGGAAAGAAACAAATGAATAGAGGGGGAACTTAGAAGATATACATAAAGTGGCAGTATATTTTAAGGTTTAAATTGACAAATTTTTAAAAAATGACAAATTGTGCATTGACTGATTAATAAATAGATAACAGACAATCTATCATGTATGCTTTTTAAAGAAATGTCTTCCTTTTTAAAAATACTTTTTACTATATTTAATTTTTAAGAACAACTTTATAAATACCATCATTTGCAAAAAAAAAAAAACAACAAACAAAAAACAAAAAACAAAAACAAAACAAAACAAACAAAAAAACCCCAAACCAGGTCTGATGCCTTCTATGAAGATTAAAAATACCAAGGATATTTTCTTGGCCTGTCTTCCTTTTTATTTTTAAAATGAAATTGGTTATGTTTTAACTCCTCCATCTTTTCCTAACTGCACATTATTTTGTTTTTGATTGTCATTTTTCCCCTTGTAGTCTGATTTTGGAATGTCAATACACCTTATTCCTCTTCACATCCCTCATATTAGGAGACTATTCTCTTCCACTTTTTGTTTGAATGTTTAGATCTCCTTTTTTTGTTTGTTTTCCCATGAATAATTCATTTTCTTTTTGTAAATTTTTCAACAGTTTTATTCTTATTTTCCATCTGATATTTCATCTCAATGTTGATAATAATGGAGTTGTGTGACCTTTTTCTGTCTCTATACATAATGATAATTCATTTAAATTTCTGAGTCTTTTTACATGACATTATGTATTTCTATTTCTAAACTTTTAAAAATTTATTTTATTGTTTATTTATTTATTTTTAGAGAGAAAGAGAGAGAGAGAAAAAAAAAACAGGGAGAATGAAAGAGAGAATCTTAAGCAGGATCCAGGCCAGGGCTCGATCTCATGACTGTGAGACCATGACCTGAGCCGAAATCGAGAGTCAGATGCTTAACTGACTGAGCTCTCCAGACACCCCTAACTTTGTGTATTTCTGAAGTAAGATAAACACTAAAGCAAAATTGCTATACAGCTACATAAATGTGTTAATAGTTCTATAGTGTTTAGCTTTCTTTTATAACTATGCTGTGCTAACAGTACATCTCACAGCAAGCATTAGTCACAGCCCTACAAAATGCATTTCTTAGCGCACGGAGATATTAAAGGTATGAATTACATTAATCTAACCACAGGGTAAAGTAGAAATTAATCCTTATCTACAAGTTTTCTGTTGTTTAGTTGATTCAGTTATAATTTTGAAACTACTAATTCAATTTCAATTTTTCATGCCATATCTATACATGAAGAATAATCTGGCATTTTCTAAATGGGAGGATGCACATTTCATTTAGACTAAAACTTTTTTTCTGCAATACGGTGCAGATAACCACAGTGTTGGTTTTTCAACAAATTCCCTTCAACAACACAACAGGAATGATTTATCCATGTATTCATTAACTGGTATGTTTTATTTCCTATTTCTAACTTTACGGGAAGTTTTTGAGATAATAAATTGATGTTTGAAATGTTACACCAAACCCAAACTGTAAAATGAAGTAAATCGCCTAATCTTTTTGAAGGTCATGTTATAAATTATTCTTATGATGAAGCAGGATGCATATGGTCCATGAGCAGAATCTCAGCTGTGGGCTTCTTGATAAAGGGACGTAGTTGCTCTTTGGTTGTGTCTCAAAGGAACTGTGAACTCTAGGTTACGACGGCAGGTTTTGGGTGTTTACTGGAACCACAGCAGCTACAACAGGACTAATTTAAATGAGTCTCCAATTTTCCAATGCCATATCTGCAGTGAATTCTCAATGGTTTCCAAAACTCACCAAAGGATAGTCATAACATTCAGCTTGTCATGGCATGGTCTCATTACTGATTGGAGGAGCCCAGGAAGGGTAAGTAGAGAGGTCAAATAGAGCCCAAATCCAGGTGGACATGCCAAGCATCACCACAGCAACACCCACAATATTAACGCCAAGTCCAGCTTTAACCTTGAATAGGGAAGAGCATAAATGTCAGTTTCCTGAAAAGAAAACCTATAGGAGAATCGGAATACTACCGCAGAAAGTATATGTCAGACTTGTTTACATCATAAATGATTAGCATAAATTGTTGTTACTTCACAAAACAATGAGCTCTCCATTCATATCAAAACAGAATCTATCCTCAACTAAATGACATTTAGTTGCAAATTCTATGAGGTTCCTTTTAGGAATATACTGGAATCACTCTGATTCAAGAAAAATCCCTTTAAAAATTTCCCATTTCATGTTAAATCAGAATATGAGTTTTGAGGTCTTGTATTTCAGTGGATAAGGTTCAGGTCACTATATGATAACTGGATCTTTCAAATTCACTCAATACCATTATTAGTTTAGCCTTCAGTATTCTCTTATTGAGATTTAATAAAATGCCACTTCTATTCATCTTCTTTAGAGTTCTCATTTTTCTAGCTCTTGTGTCATCATCCTGGTGTCCACTAAAAATTTCAAAGTTGCTTTGAATCCATTAAAACAGAGGTTGGCAAACCTCTGCTCATGATCCGTTTTGGCAAATTAAGTTTTATGGGACCACAACCATGGTGGTTACATATTTTGGCTACATTCATGTACAATGGTGGAACTGAGCAGTTGTGACAGAGAGCATATGGCCCAGAGAGCGTTAAATATTTACTATCTGACTCTTTACAGAGAAAGCTTATCTCTGCATTCTCTGTATTAAAACATGGAGCCACAAAGCAAAAGGGGATACCTAGCAATGTTTATTACAGAGGCCCCCTTTTCTGTACATGCAAGCCACTCATTTAATCCAGAATCCTGTTTTTTTTTGTTTTTTTATAAATTTATTTTTTATTGGTGTTCATTTTGCCAACATATAGAATAACACCCAGTGCTCATCCCGTCAAGTGCCTCCCTCAGTGCTTGTCACCCAGTCACCCCCACCCCCCGCCCACCTCCCCTTCCACCACCCCTAGTTCGTTTCCCAGAGTTAGGAGTCTTTCATGTTCTGTCTCCCTTTCTGATATTTCCCACTCAAGAATCCTGTTTTTATTTTTTTTAATTCACATACGTCCGACACTGGTTGTATTCTATTATGCACATTTTCTTTTCCAAAAGGATATTATGTGACTTCTGCATAGAGACCTTTCCAGAGTTTTTACATTGCAGAGTTGTAGGGACAGCACTGTGTGTGGGAGGAGGCAACTGAGACCTTGGAACTGAATTTTCATAGTAAGCTCATTGAGTTTACTTTGGTTATATTCTTTTTTTTTTTTTCCTTTTTTGGTTTGGAAGTTGGTAATCAAGGTTAGGGGGAGACTAGAATATTCTCAAACTAGTCCTTGACAATCACTACTTTTGTATTTGGGGAAAAATGACCATGTTTTATCACTTGAATGTCTCATTATTGCTTGTGCTTTTATGTCAGGTGCCACCATTAGAATCAGAGCAAGAAAGATGACCTTTCATCAGCAGGTACTGAGTCCAGTGTATTATGTGAAGCAAGTATTTGCTGCAAAATATTTGTGGTAGAAAACCACAGCGTGGGTGGGGATCCCTGGGTGGCTCAGCGGTTTAGCGCCTGCCTTCAGCCCAGGGCGTGATCCTGGAGACCCGGGATGAAGTCCCACATCGGGCTCCCTGCATGGGGCCTGCTTCTCCCTCTGCCTGTGTCTCTGCCTCTGTGTGTGTCTCTATGGATAAAAAAATGAAAGAAAGAAAAGAAAGAAAAGAAAGAAAGAAAGAAAGAAAGAAAGAAAGAAAGAAAGAAAGAAAGAAAGAAAGAAAAAAGGAAAACCACAGCGTGTAATTGCTGAATTTCATTAACCCTATTTCTTCCTTTTGACTAGGTCAAGTTGGATCCTGATCCTGATATGCGAGTTTAAGCCATTGTGTTGCACGTACTCTGTGCTCTGTTCATTTTTCAGGTACATTACTGATGCGTTCAGTATCTCTGTGTTTGTGACTGCAAATCCTAACGGTAAGTTTGCTTCTAGTTCCCATTTTTAAAAACAGTTCTGTGACCAATCATGTACTCACCTTCAGAAGCAGAACTAAAGCCTTGCTTTTCCTGGCAGTTGATAGTGTGTAAAAAGAGCGATAACCCAGGACATAACACACACACAAAGATGTCTATTGGACCTGATTTCAGCTCACTCACCATGTCCATAACTTTTAGATGGCCATAGGAAAAAACAATAGCATTGGGTGGATTTGCTACTGGTAGGAGGAATGCAAATGAAGTACACAGAGTAGAAGGTATCAAAATATAAAGAGGGTTCACTTGAATGGCTTCAGCCTGTTGGAAAAGATAAGAAGGAGTTTAAGTAAAATTTCGAGGTAGGCACCAAGCATCAAAATGAACGATTATTATGATGAGCTTTCCCAGAAGCACGTTAAAATCTAAAGACCTAATACTATACACATAAAGGCAGTTATCACGTGAAGAATATTCTTCAGAAATGCAGTTATCACTTGAAGAATATTTTCCTCTTGTTTTTATATGGTAATTAGTGCTATTTAAGTGCTATAGCTCAGTTCATATAGAAAATAAAGTATCATTTACTTCAAGAACCATATAAAAACAAAAGTAGTTTTTACTCATCTAGTGCCAGGTGCTCTGTGTGTGTGTGTGGGCGGGGGGTGTGCATTTATATAAAATAACTGAATTTTCCCAGTGACCTATGAGATGGCTACTATAGCCCCAAATAACAGATAAGAAATTAAGACATGGAAAGGCAAAAGTAACTTGTCCAGACACAAAGCTGGCAAGCAGTAGAGTGTATGTAGGGTCTCCGGTCCCTCTGGCTTCAAAGCTTCTCATTATTCCATTAATTGTCTGCCCCTGTGCCATATATAATTTAAAATTGCTTAGGGATCATCATAGAAGAAGAGTTACTACTACCCTTAATTCATCACATAATTTTCTAACTGTGCCCTGTTGAGAAGCAAAAAAGAGAAAAACCAAAATGATATTTTACCATTAAAAACTGCCTACATTTCTTCTCTAATTTGAAGCAGCAGCTCAAGAACGCCAACATATGCCCCTTGAGCTGTAGCAGAACAATCCCAGAAGGGCGATCCTTCTTAATTTGAAGTGCTATCCTTTCACCAAACTCAGCTGTCCCCATAAAAAAAAAAAAAAAAACAACACTTTACTTAAGGCTATTTCTTGTAACTGCTAGCAGGTGGGGAGACAGAAGTAAGGTTGTCTTTTCCTCTCTCTCCTTGCGAATCTGCTTTTTTACTTCTCTTTAAAAACTATTCCCTGGGCCGCAGAGAACTGTGTCTAAGATATTTTAGCTTAAAGCCTGAAGTGTAAGCCTAGGTTTTCATTCATTTGCAAATCACTTATATGAACCACTTCTCAGAAATTGAAGAATAATCCGAAGAGAGAAGTGTCAGTGTCAGAGCCAGAGTTGCCAGGAAACATGGATTCCCAAAGTCTTACAGCTAGAAAGGATTCAAGCTGACCCTCCCGATGATCTGCAAATATAAAATCCAGGGAGACCGAAGAAGGTAAGTGCTTCTCTTAAGATCCTTCTACTTGAATGTGGAAGAAAAGAGTTCTCCGGATTTAAGGTCTCCTAAAAATGTATTCATGCAAATAAAGACCACCCTATAAGTTACTTACAGGAAGATCATTCACACCCGAAATGATTCTATACCACAATATGAGAACAAGCAGAGTGGAACACTCTTCTTTCGATGAATATAAAAGCAGATGAATGAGATACTCACCAAAGGAGATAATATAGGGAGAAGGAGGGTAATGGTAGCTGGATTGCTGGCTACCTCTGTTAAAGATGTGACGAGCAAAGAAGATATCAGAATTATCAGCCAAACTGGTAATGAACCTAGAGGAGATAATTTATTTCCTATCCACTTAGATAATCCTGACTCCTACAAAAAAAAATTTCAATATTATTCATTAACAATCATTTTAATCAGACACAATTTAAATGCATAAGATGTCAGTTGCTCTAAGAACTCAGTTTCTAAAATACAATTTTAATCTTTCCTATTTTCCCATGGTTTGGTGGATCTAGGCGGCTTTGACACAGAGAAGCTCTCAATTATTCTTATTTCAAAACTACTGACATGCTTTAGGAAATTCTAATTGTCTTCCCACATTGTTTCAATTGAAATTTAATTTTATCTAATTAATATATGTGAAGAGTTTAACAAGTCATGTGGCACTATACGGCTTTAGGAAAATGGCAGCCTCTGGTCTACCTCTCTCCCCTCCTAAGTTGTGTTCCTCAGACACAATTTTCAAGCCGCATTAGCTATATATAGCTAGTTTTTAAAATATGCTTTTTCCTAATTTTCACATTTAGACATTGTTTACTAACTTTCTAACATGCTACATAAGGATTTAGTTTTCTTACATCATCAACCATATATATATATTGTGTCCCCCTATTTCTTTTACTCTTATATCCGCATTTTTATTAAGTCAATGTTTAAAGTTTGCCATTATGATTATATCAATATTGCTCGTACCTGAATCACTTAGTGTACTGTGAAGAATAAAGTTGCTACTTCTTTGTCCTATGATCTATCCAGTTTATATAAAGTACAAGTCTGGGGACGCCTTTGTCACTTGAAAGTCATTGTAGGACTCCTAGAAGGAAAGTATCTTCTCAAAACGTCCATGAAAATTTTTTACTCCTTTGACTAATTAAAAACCTCTCATTTCTGGATTTCGAAGCCTTCTGTGAAACATTTAAAGCTCACAGCTGTTCCATTTCCTTATCCAGTCATCAAAGTAAAAAGGTTGGTGAGAGAGATGTGTTGTGTCCACCCTTTTAGCTTCTGGAGAGTTAAATTTTTATTCTTCTCAAGACAAATAACTATAAGCTATTTTCTTAACAGCCTATAGGGAGGGTTTTTTTTGTTTCTGACTTTACTGTCATTTTTTTTTTTTATTTGGACACAGCTCTCGGCAATACGATTTAGTAATGGTTTGAAAATCTTAGAAATTGTCTCAATTCTGAGTGCCACTTACAATGTTGTTTGATGTCTAGATTTGGCTTGCTTCATAGACCACTCAAGTTTAAATGATAGAAATATAAGACAAATACACTTTTCTACTATTTCAGCAAGACTGAGACCTGGCTTCTCAGAATCAATAACTTCCATTCTTTTGATGGCTACTTTGAATTGTGAGGGAATCAGAATCAGCAATTGCAACCTTGACATGAATTTTATTCCTTATGTTGTTTTTTTTTTCTCTTTAAAATTGGACATGATATAATATTAGCCATGGTCATATAAAATTCTGACTTCATTCAATAAACATGTACAAAGCACCTTTAACATACTTAATATGTAATAAATAATGTAATAAATAAATGATGTAATAAAGTACTATTATTTCTCCTTCTCTTTCTCTGACAGCCTTAGGACTATGATATATTGAAAAGGGGTCTGTGAGCTACTCAAATTCATCATGAAGTAAGATAAGGTTATAAACAGAATGTTTTACGAGGAGTCATTGTACATATGACTTTTATATTTTTTCTTTTTAGTCAAGTTTCTAATACTATTTCATGGATTAAGAATTCTAATCTTCAGGGTGCCTGCGTGGCTCAGTTGGATAATGACTTTTGATTTTGGCCCAGGTCATGATTGCAGGGTGGTGAGATTGAGCCCCATGTCAGGCTCTGTGCTCAGCGGGGAGTCTGCTTGAGAATCTCTCTCTCTCTCCCTCTCCTTCTGCCCCTCTTTACCCCCTTCCTGCAGAATTCTAATTTTCTCTGCTTTATCCCTTTCGACATACTGAGACATCATTTAAAAACGATGTTTAATGCCTGCAGCCTGCCAAAATTATTAAACTCACTTCATCTGTGTGGTATACTTACTGCATGGCTACTAAAATCTGCATCATTAAAATGATAGGATAAAGTTGAATACGCCAAAGCTTGAATGTCTCCTGTTTTTCTTTTAAAAAGTCTAGTTAACTGTTAAATATCTTAGTCACAGCATATTACCTCACAGCCATCTGCCAAGGCAAACCCTCCACCAACAAGTATGGCTATATCCCAGGGCATGAATGACTGGAATTCTTTCCAAGTGATCAGTGGAGAATAATCAAAAGCAACTGCAAAACACAAGCCCAATAGTTATACATTGCTTAATTATGACCATATTACATTTTTTTCTATTATCCCAAATCACCATCTCAGGAGAAGTTTTTAATATCCCTATCTTGAGGTGGAACACTGCATTACAAAAAAAGAAAAAAAATGCCATATCTTGGAAAAATCCTTTGGATCATATTACAGAGTAAACTTAGAAAGACTATATCATTGTCCTTTATAAGGCCTTTCATTCATTCATTTCACTAACATCTTTGCCTACTATGAGTGACACAGTGCATTGGACTGTACTATTCTTTGCTATACAAAATGTGTATAATATGCCATTGGTTCTAACATCATCAGTGTGACATTATACTTTTATTCACTAATATTTACTTGAATCTTTATTTTTTTCCAAATCATGAGGAAGGTCATAATAGATTCATCAGGATTTCAGTGTAAAACAAAGCTCAGATTAAATAATTTAAGTATCATTTATAAGACTCTTAAAATTCTTATAAAGCAATTATCATGAAGATTTCTCTTGATATTTGGGTCATAATGGCTCATTTGATTTATTGAAAAAAAAAGTCATCCATGAATATATAATTAACATTTAACATTTGTGTGTAACAAGCAGCCTTCTACATGGTAAAATTTTACCATCTTACCGTACTGATAAAAATTTTATTTCTTACTTGAATTAAGGCATATGTCCTGTAATTATGCAAACATCTCTGAAATGTACCTCTCATGTAAAATTTAACATATGATATCATTTTTAAACCTAGCGTGAGTGGGTTTTCAGGGAGAACAAGAGTTGAAGAATGAGAAGAGAGAGAATTGTGGATAGGGGTGTGGGGTCTAAGGGCAGGCTGTCCCAAGATGGGCCTCTTTGGCATGAACATTATTTTGAGTTAAAAGCAATCAACAACCAGCAGATTCAGAAAAAGCTCTTGGCCTCCCCCTCAACTACCCAACTACCTTCTTATACCAGGAAGAGAGAGATTAATAAAGATTCCTTTTTACCTAAGAATCTTATCTTCATAATTAGGCAGCCTTTGTTTTACAAATATCTCCTTTCACCTTCCTGCACATGGTCTTTCTCCTCTTTGTATCCTCAGACCTCTACCCTTCTTCACAGCTCATAAAAGTGTCATGTTGCCTCACTGTCTTTGGAACTTCCACATCTATGTGGATTCCTTGCCTGCACACTATTAAATTTGATTTTCTACCATTAATCTGTCTCATGTCAACTTGATTCTTAGTCCAGCTACAAGAATCTTGAAGGGCAAAGAAAATTCTTTCTTCCCAACAGAAGCAAGGCTCTTTCTCAGTGGGTGATTCAGATATGCGAGCCAGGAAAGTTAAGCCAAGCATTGGTTCTTCAACATTTGCCACCGACAGGCCTTAGGGCTTTGTGCAATGGTCAATACTCAGGGTCTCATAGAAATCGTTACTCTGTACTTTGATATCTCCTTCTAACATGCTTTGAGATGTTCTAGTGTTAAGTAAAGAACAAAAGGCACTTATATCTATGCTGTGGTATTTACATATATCATGTCCTAGACATCTGACTCAAGTCATTTATCAGTTTGGACTCAGGGAGTCAGAAGGGTCAACCCAACTGCATGAATCCCAGTTCCATCTAAGTAAAAAAAAAAAAAAAAAAAAAAAAAAAAAAGGAAAAAGAGAAATAAAAGAAAAGCCATCAGGAAGAAAGCCCACAACTATACTAGACTATTTTCAAACGATTTTAAGCTATTTGTCCCACAATAATAACATAGGAATCTGACTACCCAAAACATACTGAATTAGTACAGCATAGATGCAGATGAATCCTATGTTTAAAAGGTGTGTGTGTGTGTCAGGCAAAGGAAGGGTAGGTTCACATAAACGTGGGTACTTCTTTATTCACGTATCACAAAGACAACGAATGCTCCCACGGAATAAATACCTCATCTTTCATTTGTGACACTAGGTTCCGGCTAAGTGTGGGCTTGATTTGCATTCCCTCCAGGATTACTGTGAGGCTGTAATAGTAGTTTCCCTTGAAACTCCTCATCTTTTTAGATCCTTAGCACTTATTACCAAGGGCTCCTCATGAAGTGTGCCTTCCAAGTTCTTGTTCCTATGTTTGCCAATAGTAAGATTAATTCTGATTATGGCAGGGGAAGTGGGTTTATTGTGGACCAAATAGTATCATTCGTAATGGAATCCTAACCATGGTACATAAGGAAATCTACTTCTCACTTCTGCCAAGAAAGATGATCCTTCTTGTAGGGGGAGAACATGTGCTGGCTGAATCAGGGTTGCGATGTGCACACAGGGCATGCCCAGACAGGGTGAGCACGTCCATTCTTTCTGTTTTAAGTACTAACTGAAACCAATGGAATTTTGTAATATTTTCTCTTCTGTCAAATTCATTCAGAATTATAAATAATACTCAACCAATTTCTCCTGTAGGTGTAGTTTTAGTCAATCTCTTAGCTGGGATAATAAAGAATAGGATTCCTATAAGCAAGGCAACAGTTGAATCTGTAGCAAAACCAGGATACCTGAAAAAGGACAGATGGATACATTAAAAAATTGCATCAAGAATTTGCATGAACTGAAGAACAATTGACTATGCTAATAAGCATACAAATAGTGATGTTATAGGTTCTTCATTCTGGATAATCTGGTCTAACATCTATGGATTTCCAACCAAATATTAAAACTTAGTAAAGCCAAAAATCTCAGACCATGTTCCCATTGTTTCCATATGTTTCCAACATATAATGATTCCTTATTTTCAAAACCATGAATACACATGCTGACATACAAGGGCGACATGGCAAATTCCTTTTAAGGTAAAGCTTAAGGATTTGATAAACAACTTTTTCTTTGAATTATTTCTTTTAATTATATTGGCAGAGAATTGAGGCCAAAACAATTGCTAGCCTAGGTAAAACCCTGTATGATTGTTGTGTAACATCCTACTATTGCATTGTGGCAAGGAAAGGGTATTTCTGGAGTCCTCTAAAATTCCTCTGAAAAGAAATTGATCTGTTTTTCTAAGATGCAACATCTGCTACTGTGATTATAGGCCCTAGCCATATCATACAAATGAAATCAACCCATTTAATGCTTTGCACCCTATGAAACTCAATCAAGAATATTAATCATTAGAATGGTTTATGAGATGCTCATAAATGATCACTGTGCAAATTAAGAGTGATTCAGGAACAGATGGGGTCTTAGAATCACCAGGCCATTCCAGCAAATAAGACAGGCTCCCAGAAGCCTCAACAGTTAAGAAGCACCTGGAGACCAGATATGAATGAAACAGACATAAATAATTAGAATTCAGTTCTAAGACTCAGCAATATTAGCTAGTGAATATTTGCAGTCTGAGAAGAGCTATGTACACCCCGGAGATTATTTTGCTCTCCTGTGACTCAGCAACGTGTCCACAGTATAGATGCCTCTACATCTGTGATTTACTTGAGCAGTCTAAACAATCAAGGAAATGGACTATTTTATTCAACCTGACAAAGGATAAAGGAGTCTGTTTTCCTTAAATATAGATTTTATTTATTTCTTTGCTGAATAAAAAGCTATCTTGGTGTAATTCATTCAACAAATGTAACCAATATTTATTATGTTGTTGTTGTTCCTTATTTCTTTTATTTGAGCTGTAATTTTTTACGGTATTTTTGCCAAATTAGGTCAGGCATCATGTAATCTGATTTTGTCTTATATGAAAAGACACATTGAATTCAGTCCAGGTTCAAACAGATGGAATGAAAACATTAGGTGGTAGCCATAAATCTTGATATATCATTCTAGCTTTGGAAATTCGAAATGCTTAAAATCTCTATAATGTACATTCTACAGATTATACTTTAAATAAAATCAAGCTATAAATACTGAAGTAATTTTGTTCCAAAAGACCTTTAACACTATAATTATTTTATTGTTATTTTCATTTTATTTTTAGTTTATTAGGAACAAAGGTTGTCTCACCATTACAAAATATTAGGCTTACACAAATTTTATTTGCTTTGGCAATTTATGAATCAAAGTTGATTAGATTTGTATCCTCAAATCCCCTTTTCTCTCAAACCTTCGTTCCTTTTCCTGTTGTTTTCTCAGAATTCTAGGTAACCTGAGCACCCGCCCATAGCAAATATACTCTGCTCTCCTGCTGCAAACAAAGTGTCTCCTGAATTACACTCTCCTTCAGTAAGGAATAGAAATTAGAAACTGATTATATTGAATTTTCTGCTGGGATTTCTTCCTGGTTTTTATTAGCTACTGTGTGATTTCATTTGGTTTTTACACCCTGGTGTTTAGAGAAGACTCTCCCTTCCTAAGGTAATAGGACTAGGATTTTATTTTATTTTATTTTTAAAGATTTTATTTATTGATTCATGAGAGACACAGAGAGAGGCAAAGTCACAGCAGAGGGAGAAGCAGCTCCCTGTGGGGAGCCCGATGTGGGACTCGATCCCGGGACCCCGGGGTCACTCCCTGGGCCGAAGGCAGATGCTCCACCGCCGAGCCCCCCAGGTGGCCCAGGAGTAAGATTTTAAAAGAATAATAATCACTTTATGTTGGTTTAGGACCTATTACAAGACTAAAAAGTAATACTCAGGGTGCTAAGTGCTAATTTGCTATGAATAGCCTGCTTTGAATAACCGGATGCTGCCTCGTGTTTGGACTTTGCAAAGTGACAAATCTTAGTTCAAAACATGAAGTCACCGTCTGAAGCCGACCCCGTGGAACCCGCCCTCACGCGGCACCGCTGCGCCCGGAGGAGACCTGCGCCCCCGTGGAGCTCCCAACAGCCGTGGCAGGGCCCACGCAGCCGAAGGCTCTGGCTCAGGGGTCGGGGAATTCTTTACTCCATGTGGGCCGGGTACTTCTAACCCCAACAATTTTGGTTTCTGTCCCCACAAACGTGGATTCCCGCTGTGGGGTGTGAGGCAGGAAGTCCCCACCAGCGATCTGCTCAATTTAAGAACCCGAGCACCTCGGTGAGAGATGGATTAACAGCACAAATCTCAAAAACCCAAGTATTTATATTGATATGTAGGCTGGTCCTTAATTTAGAAAATCACAGTCTCGTCGTCCCCCTCACTTCATGTGACTCAGCATGACTGCTGGCCTGGGAGATGCGAGGAGGTAAAATTAACGTGACCCAGCTTCCAGCTCCTAACGTCAGTCTGTAGAATCGGTCCCATTACTTACTTGGAAATTCCTGGTCACAAAATAGGGGCAGGGATGGAGTCATAGTGAACTCGTGTGCAGGTGAGCACGATGAGAGGGCAAGGCGAGATACTGAACTGAATAAAAAAACAAGCTGGCAAGAATCCCAGAATGTGAGCCTCTCTCGGGGGGCCAGCGAGGACAGGGTGGCATTCATGTCACCTAAGAAACATGCATCTCGGCCCCCCCCCCATCGTGGAGCCACCATCGCCAGTGTCCCTTCCAGGCCCAAAATGTGGGGGACTCGCCCCAAGCGAGGAGCCCGGTGAGACCCAGCGGGGCCCCGGGGCTCTGCTCCCACCCGGGGCTCTGCTCCCACCGGCACCCACAGGCCCGTTACCGCCTCACCCCTTGGGGACCAGCAGGGCCTGTTCGGAGGAGCCTGGCTGGGCATGCACCTCTCGTCTGCGGTCGCCCCTGTCATTTCACTCCTTCCCACCTCTTGTCCCGAAAAGATTAGAACCGAGCCAATCGAGCCACCTTCCCAGCAGAGACGGGAGTCCCTCCGACCCTCCGAGTTGTGGGGCCACCGAGGAGAGAAACGGGGCGAGGCGGGAAGGGTCAGCACATGGGACACGGAGCGATGCTTACTTGGAGAACAGCGCCGACCAACCGGGCACAAACCCAGGATCCCGGCTGAACCAGAGCAGAGCCATCACGATGAAGAGGATCAAGGTCACGATCTCCTGGTACCTGCAGGAGGAGTCCGTGCCTAGTCGGCCCCGGGCCAGGACGCTCACAGGCACCCGGAGCCCGGCTGAGCCGCGCGGGGGCAGGCCCGGCCCGACCCCACACTGTGGCCAGGTGACCGCGACCAGCGGCTGAGGGCGACTGTCGGGTTAGAGGACTCGACTCCTCGCCGGGGCCCTGGCTCCCTTCCACTCTATCTGGGAAATTTTTGTTGGGCCGAAGTATGTGTTTTGTCACGTCGAGTCCTATTTACAAAGGTCAGCGGGCTCCAGGCCCCCGTTATGTGTTTAAATACGTTAAATTACGTTAAGGTGCACGTTCACCTTAAACAAACACAGGCCTCAGAAGCCTCTGCGTGTGTCGGAGTGTTTGCACGTGCGCCCGCGGGCGTGTCTCACCTCATTGGCCCGAGTTTCTGGTATTCTTGTTTGATCACCTCGGCACAAGCTTTTTGTTTGGCTGTTTTGGTCTTGCCGCATTTGAACATCTCCTTGAAGCTGAAAACAATAATGGAGCCCGTTAAGCAGAGGATTCTCCCTAAAGAGGAGATTTGTGCCAAAGCTTCACAAAATACCAACCTCCCGCCAACAACAGAGATCTGTGTGCAACGCCGATGCCTCCGGGTCCTCCTTTGAATGTCCTCTCCCCTCTTCCCGCCTTGCCTGGTTTGCTCCGTTTTCAAGGCTTAATATTTGTTCCATATTTCACACATCCTCCCCCGATCGCCTCCTTCTCGAAGTGCTCACATCATTGGAATTTTGCCACGTGCTGCTCATCTCTGACTTAATGCGTTATTCCGTACCTGAGTGTTACAGATTTTAATTTCTTTATTGTCTATTTTGATTGTTAGTTGCTGCACATGTCTAGGTTTTATCTCTTTAGATAATGAAGTCTTGGAAGGCGGGGCAGTGCCATTGGTGTTGGCTCTGGTGCAGGAACTCAGCGCTGGCATGCACAACAAATACTTGACTCGTCAACTCAACAGAACCTTCCTCAAATTTATGGGACTGCTGGTTGTCAGATCCATCAGTTTGCACAAAATATACCAGACTCGAGCCATTCTCTAGGGCAGAGAAGTCATGTACGCTGATCGTGAGGGGAGTCGAAGCTAGGGCTCTTTCGCTCAGGACGCACACCAACTCTATTACACTTTTTTTTCTTCAAGTTTCTTTCATCCTTTGTGTCCTAATAGAATCCACTAGTTTCCCATCTTCTGCCAATAGTAACTGCCAGTCTCCGTTTTCTACTGACACTTTCCCTTGTGACTAATTTTCCTTTCCTGAAGTCTCAGGTCTTCAAAACTTTTTTTTTTTTTTGGGGGGTGGGGGTGAAGTACTGCTCTAGGCCTAGATTTAAAAAAAAAAAAAATTCCTCCAGTGGAACAAACAAATGAGCAAATGGTTAGATTCTTATGTTCTTTTTTTTTCTTTTCTTTTCTTTTTTTTTTTAGATTCTTATGTTCCATCTTTTGGAATGTCTATAAGTAGCTCAGTTAGATCACATTATGTGTGGGTAGGGAAGGTATTTCTGAGTGGAGGATTAAGGAATTGAAATCTGGATCTTGAAGAGATACCTGCATTCACGTGTTCACGGCAACATGACCACAATAGCCAAGGCGTGGACACAACTCAGATGTCCATCGACAAACAAGTCGATAAAGAAAAAGTGGAATAGAAAGAAAAGAAAAGGTGGTATAAACATACACTGGAATATTAGCCTTAAAGAAGCAGGAAATCCTGCCATTTGTGATAACTCAGATGGACTTGGAGGACCTTGCGCTAAGTGAAATAAGCCAGACACAGAAAAACCGAATATTGTATAGTCTCACCTATAGGTAGAGTCTAAAATAGTCAAACACATGAAAGCAGAGAGTAAAACAGTTGTTTGTCAGGGAATGTAACGAGACAGAAATGGTGAGGTGTTAGTCGAAGGGTGCAAAGTTTCAGTCACCGGAAATAAATAAGTCCTGGAGATCCACTGCACAAAGTAAGGCCGATAATTCATGACACTCTACTGTCACTTAAAAATTTAACGAGAGCGTAGCTCTTACGTTAGGTGCTTTGACTATAAAAGGAGAAAAAGAAGAAAAAGAACCTCAAAAAGCAAAGGGGGCAACAGGAAACTTTGGGAGGTGATGGGAAAGTTTGTGGCCTTCACATTGATGATGGTTCATGGGTGTCCACGTATCTCCAAAGACATCAAGTCATATACGTTAATTATCTACGGCTTTTTGTATGCCAATCGTGCCTCAGTAAAAGCAGATTTAGAAAAAAGAATGAGTGCAGAAGCATGTTCTCCTATAAAATTGCTGGGCTAAAAATAAATAAATAAATAGATAAATAAATAAATAAATAAATAAATAAATAAATAAATAAAATTGCTGAGCTAAACATGGATAGATATGAGGGAAAAAATAAGAAGTCTAAGATGGTGTGACCGTGACCATCACACACATTTTTATTTACTTATTTTTTCCGTAGCTCTGCCATTCTGATATGTTTAAACTCTTATTCCCTTTGAATGAACAGATTTTCCTCAATTCTTACATCCATCGTACGTATTGAAAATCATCCTCCTGGACACACTCCAACCACTGGACAGAATTACATGGATGTTGTTATATTTAAGATCGATGAGGTAATATTTAACTTTTATGATCTCAACTAAACTACTGACCAGTGCCAATCTTGAAATTTTACCCCTTGCCACAATTTAAATAAGAGTATTGTGAGAAACGGATCCACGGACCACTTTGAGATCCACCTATAGAACAGAAAGTAGAATTTTAAAAAAGGGTGAGTCTCAGGGCGCCCGGGTGGCTCAGTCGGTTAAGCGTCTGACTCTTGGTTTCAGCTCAGGTCATGATCTCGGGGTCGTGAGACTGAGCCCCTCGTTGGGTTCCATGTTGGCTGTGGAGCCTGCTTAGGATTCTCTCTCCCTCACCCTCTGCCCCTCCTGACACTCTCTCCCTCTCTCTCTAAAAAAGAAAAAAGAAAAAAAAAGAAAAAGAAAAAAAAAGGTGAGTCTCCTTAAAAAATGTTTTTCACCCAGTGGACTGCATATGTACTTGGTCTTTTTGGTTGAAGATGATAAACAGTTAATCCCGGCTTTGGACAAATGAAGGTTGGTGCCTTCGAGCGGCCTGTGACAGGGCGGCAAGCTCTTGCTTTGAGTAGGTTCAGGGCGCTGACGGACGAGCTGCTCCCGCCAAGTGTGCTGGGGTCACTTATAACGGGACGTCAGCCGTGTCGCCCTCCAGCCCCGATCAGCCCCGTTGCCCGGGGTGGGGCTGATCATTTCTGGTTGTTGCTCTAAGGCCCCTGGAGGTGAAGACCCTGCCGCCCTGAGGCGGACACTGCAAACTTAGCAGAGGCAAAGCCGTGCAAGGCCTAAGGGACACGGCGGGCGGCGGGGGCTGCCCCAAGGTGCCCGGAGTCATCGGTTAGGGGCCTTGCCTAGCGCAGGCACCTCACCGCATTCTCGACCTCCTACACAACCCCCTTCGGTGCGCCTGCCCTCTATTTTCTTGGTTTTCCCTTTATACACGGTGGGCCACTTCAAAATAATGACCATGGTCGCGTACGTTTTTTATAAAGTCCTTCTATGTAGCGAAAGGGAAGGACACCGCTGTGGGTCTGGGCCTGGGCGCTGTGTCCCACGGCTGGCACTGCCGCCCTTCGCCTCCTGCTTTGCCACCCTTGCGGTTGAAGCCACCCCAACGGCGTGCGTCTCCAGGAAGGGGCGGTAGGATGCAGCTGGCCTCCCCGGGCCCCTGCTGGGGTCTGTGACCTGCCACACATTTGCTTCAGCGGGAGGACGGCCGCATGCTGGTCCCACAATCTGCACAGAGAGTGGGTTGTTTTGTTTTGTTTTGTTTTGTTTTATAGCCATCAGTACTGTCTTCCAACTATGAACAAAACTGTGGCCGTTCTGGAGAAGACCCGGGAAGGGGAAAGGAGGGGGAGGAGCACCTTCCTGGTGGGGCTCGGAGGGCGGCAGGGAGCACCACCTGGTCACTGCGCTTTGCTTTGCAGAGCGAGGCTGCGGAGCTGACCGCGGGCCCCCGCCCGGCAGAGAGCATGTGGTTTTGCTCACAGGTCCTTGAAATTATTTGAATACAAGACAGTAAAGATGAATTTGAATTATTTTGTTTTTTTTTTCAGGAAAAGATCCTCAGGGTTTGATTTACAGTCATTTTCCTGGTCTTTCTGGGGTTTTGTTTTATGTGCTCCAGGTATAGGCTGCATTCGGATCTGCCGTGGAGCCCTTCGTGATTTTAGACGCCGCCCGTCACTTAGGTCATTTAAGTAGCTCATTAGCTCCAGCCACAGCCGAGGCAATATTTGCAGATTCTCCTTGAATACAGAGATTTGACCTTTTTTCAGCTTGCACCCATGTGTGTTAGAACCACAGCGTGGGAAGCGGGCTTACTCATCTTCCAGTTAAATTCCATCGTTTTATGATTGAAACACTGAGACCGAGACAGATGGCTCGTCGCGAAGAGCCACAGCTCTGTCCCCGGTCTTCCGGCTCCTCGTCCCGGACACACAGGGCGCGCTCTCGGTCTCCCTGTGGCTCTTCAAGGACGTGCCAGTCTTGGCGGCGGCCGCGGGCACTGGACGGCGCAGGCGATGCCCACGTACACGAGGGGGCAAATGTCTTGGAGCACCCCCCGGACGGGCTGGCCTGGCCCATCAGGAGGAGGCCTCAGGCCCGCCGCTCAGTGAATCACTGCGTAGGACCCGGAGGACGGCAGGACGGGCTGGGCTCTACAGGCCCCCTCCTCTGCCAGCCTCGTGTGCGGACTTGCTAGGGGCCTTCAGCTGGGCCCGGGGGCTCTGTGAGTCCGGGCACCACGGGGCTCCGGCTGCTCTCGGGGAGCCCAGGCAACCTCGTCCCGTCATCAGCATGGGGGCTCTACTTACTTGAACCCTAGGAAAAGCCACTGGAGCCAGATCCAGGACAAGAGCAGAATGATCACAGCAGCCGGGAAGGAGAGCAGAAACCAGGATCCGAAGTTAATGCAGCGGCAGTCAGGGTAGCGCCTGTGGAGACACGGAGAGTCACGGGTGTGCGCCCGGAACCTGGCCTGGGGCCTGGGGGGTCTGGGGGTCTGGGGGCTGGGGGCCTGGGGGGTCTGGGGGGTCTGGGGGGTCTGGGGGCCTGGGGGCCTGGAGCAGTGGCCCGCATCTCCCCGCGGCCCAGCCAGCAGGAGGACGTAGGGCGGTCGGTCTGACCTCTGCCCTTGGGTCCCGATTCCGGGAGTGCTCCCTTGTGGCTGCTTCCCGTCCAAGGACAGTGGGACCTGGGGCTCGGGGTCTCCTGTCAATCTGTGAGGCAGCGCGGCCGAGCCGGCTCAGGCCCGGCTGTCACCCAAGGCCAGGAGGTGGGAGCGCGGCCTCCGGGGGCCTTGCCCTGGTCCCGGCCACCAGAACGGCCACCGGAACGAGCCCCAGGATCCGACCGGTGCTGCCACCGCGGGGCGCACCTGCCCCCGCAGCCCCCGTGGCTCTCCCCCTCCGGGTCGCCCGCCCTGAAGCAGCCGTCACCACCAGGCGGGCCGAGGCTAGCCCTGGGCTCGCTTGAACACTGAGACCAGTTAAAAACAGTCCAGAGTTCTGTGGAGAGCGTGAGCTCGGCCGTCACTCCTCCTACTTTCAGGTGTTCAGGCCACACAGTCACGAGCAGTAACAGGACACCTGGGGGGCGTCAGACACCAGCATAGTTTCTTTGGTAACCTCACACTTATTTTTGCGAAACATAGTATAAATTCCAAGTAAAATCTCATATAGTTATCTATTTTGTGACAGAAGAGGGAAAAACAGATAATTTGAGAGACAATTGTCCTTGATTTTGTTTCTTTACACAACGACCCAAAGAGTTGGAACTTTGGAAAGTATAGGAAATATTCAGAAGCAATAAAAACACCATTAACATACATTTATTACTTTTGAAATTACAAAATACAGAGAACTTTCTAGGAATGATAGATTTTTAAACTGTTATTCTATTGAAATCACACCTTGTATTTTTCCATTTAAAAAAGTCATGTAACTAAATGAAATGTTTCATACCACATGCATCAGCAGAAGCCACATTTTTTCGTACTTTATAAATCGTTTCTTCTTCTATTTTAGGATGGTTGCTAAGTAATGCAAAGACTTTTTAAAAAAACAACAATGGGTTTTTAAAACTCTAGGTTTGTAATGTTTTCTAAGATTTCTTTGAGGTTATAAGAAGTTGTCGTGGATTCTAGAGTTATCATTATCAAGTTGAGGGCGATTATTATCGACCACGAAGAGATCTAAAGCTTAATTTACATATTATGCAATTAGAAGCGACAAATGAAAATAAATAATAAATAAATAAATAAATAAAGCAACAAATGATGAATAAGACATGCTAGAGAACACAGAAAATTGATGAATGGAAAAATGCTTTATCACGTCCACAAGACTGTATTGGGAATGCTCACTTAAAAAAAAATGTTTGTTGTCTTTAGTTGGAAAATGCATTAAGGAGGAAATGCTTAAGCTTTTTTCCCATCAATTTATTAGACCTGGGTTACAGGTCGATGACCTAGTTACTCTGTCCAGCCTAAAGGCATTTAGAGATGCTGCGGTTCGCCCGCCCAGCTGCGGCTGTCACCATCTGCGGCTCATACCTTGAGGTTCTCTCCACCCAACCCTGTTGAATTTGTTTAACCGAATGGGGGTTTTAGTTGGAATTTTTGCCTGGAGGGATAGTTCAGGTAGAAAAATGAAAGCCTGCAAAAGCGAAATTCTGTTTTGTGTTAGTTTTTTTCTTTAGTAAGGAAGTGAGCACCGTGCAGGACAGTGGCCTCCATGATCACAACCTTTACGCTTCCATCTGCAGTGACTATTTTGAACGATAATGGAACGAACGGCAAACTGTGAGGGATTGGTTTCACCGTTTCTTTTCCCACTTCCTCATACCCTGTAAGAATCTGCCCAAAGTGAATATAGAATTCTTTCATCATGAATTACGTTAAGTACAATTAATTCTGATAGAATCTTTTGCCCAACAGCATATTTTGAGCGTCTACCATGTAGACACCTACCAGGCGCTCTTCCAGATAATGAGGAAATACTGGTGAAGTCGACGGATGCAGTCCAGCCTCTCATAAAGTTTACATTTAAATGAGGAGCACAGGCAGTAAATAGGTAAGCATAAAAAGAATCAGAAAATATAACAAAATAATATAATAGAAGGTTGCTGGGGGAAGGAGAGATTTTACATAGTGTGGTTAAAGAGGGTAAGATTCGGAATGAGATCTAAATGGCAAGAAGGAGCCAGTCATGTAAGTAACTGGGAAACAGCATTCCAGGCGGAGGAAATAGCAAGTCCAAAGGCCCTAGGGTAGGAATAAGAGGAGCATGTTTGAGGATCAGAAGGCCGTGAGGCTGTGGGTGGTGAGCTAAAATCAGTGAAATCGAGTCTACGAAGTAGCCGGTAGGGATCAGACCATATAAAGCCTTGTAGGTCGTCAGAAGAAATGTGGATTTTAGTATGAATGCAACTAGGCATGATCGAAACAGGAAATATGTTAGTGACATGACTTAGAGTCTGTAAATTTGTGATTTACTCAAAACATCCTGGTTGGATGATCCTCAGGATTGAAGGCCACGGAGTAGAAGCCACGGTGCGATAGGTGACCCCCTATCTGCCTCTGGTATAAATTTCTGTATAATCCTCCCTCCTTCTGTGCAGGCGGAGTCTGATTAGGTTCTTTCATGGGAAAGGTGAAGGGATTTTGTTGCGGAGCCAAAGTCCCCATTGAGATAGACTCTGGTTACTCAAAAGGGAGACTTGGACGGGTCTGACTTAATCAGGCGAGTGCTTGGGGATCCCTGGGTGGCGCAGCGGTTTGGCGCCTGCCTTTGGCCCAGGGCGCGATCCTGGAGACCCGGGATTGAATCCCACATCGGACTTCCGGTGCATGGAGTCTGCTTCTCCCTCTGCCTGTGTCTCTGCCTCTCTCTCTCTCTGTGTGACTATCATAAATAAATAAAAATTTAAAAAAAATTAAAAAAAAAATCAGGCGAGCGCTCAAAGGACAGCCTTTCCCGCTGGCCTAAGGAAGCGAGCTTTCCTGCTGTCAGTGGAGGGCTCAGGTGGCGAGGATCGAGGCACAGCCTCTGGAAGCAGGGAGTGACCCCAGGCCACATACAGTGGGCACCTCCGTAGTTGAGCCACAGGGAACTGAATTCAGCCAGTGGGTGATCTGAGAACAGGGCCCTGACTTCCGTGGGATTTGAGGCCCAGCTGTCACCTCAATTTCCATCTAACGAGATCCTAAGCAGCAGACTCACATAACCCGGGCCTAGAATTCCTGACCTGGGGAATTATGAAGTCATAAACTCATGCTTTTTTAAGCCACTAAGTTAATGGTAGTTTGTACAACAGTCACATAAAACAAATACGCAAGGAAATTCGTTAGAGGACAAAGAAGCTTGGCAGAGGAGGAGGGTGCGAAGGCGTAGGAAATAGAGCAGATTTGGCTGGAGGCGGATTGGTGGCGGTGAAGGTGAAGAGAAGACCATTGGTTTCCAATATAGTTGGGACAAAATGTGGAGAAGCGGGGAATAGGTGCCATTTATTGAAATGAAGTCTGAGGGAAGAACAGGTTGGCAGACGGGGAGGGAGCGGCTGGGCACACACGCCCCGCGGGCACGCTCACCTGAGGTGGGAACGTCCCCAGGCTCCCAAGTGCTCACGTGGGTCTGGCCCCGAGGGCAGAGGGCAGGTTACATATAAGATGGGTAGGTAGCGACAGGTAGGTGACACCGCAAACCAGAGGAATGGGTGTGATGGTTTCAAGAGTAAATGGAGGCAGGAGGAAGGGGGTGCTCACCCCGGGCGTCCAGCCACAGGTCACACCGACGGCTAGGACGAGCAGGTGAGCCATGCATGCTACGTTCCAACGCGCGTCCAGCATCTTTCCACTTTCCGCAGGATGACACCATCTCACGAGCTTCGGTGGACTCTTCAAGGTCGCAGACTGTGCAGCCGAGCAGAATTCTCGCCCCAGAAGGAGCACTTTAAGCGCAGCGTGTTTGCATCGAAGCCCAGTGTCCTCAACTCCAGCCCCGGTGAGAACAGACGGTTCCGTGTGTGCTGCGGAACGTGCCCAGGCCAGGCCTGAGCCTGGTGTCCTCAGGACGCGGTAGAGCCCCGTGGAGATGCTCTCACCGCGACGAAGGCCAGCCCCGGCCCGGAGTGCGGCCCAGCTGGGGGAGGCCTTGCTGCCCTCCTCGGCCCCACGGCCCGGCCCACGCGCCACGGCCTCCAGCGAGCAGCTGGGGAAGTTTGCGGCCTTCAAACCACGTTTGGCCTTTCGAGCGCCCGAAGCCGTGGCCACGCTGATCGGAGTCCTTTTGATTACGGACTGCCTTGATTACTCCTGAGTCCGAGCCACTCGTTCGTGTATTTCCAGACGTTTCTTTTCAAATATCAGCTCCTCCCGTTCACGAGCCAGCGTGTCTACGGGCAAGGGCCTAGGAGGGGAGCCGGCGGCCAAGGCCCACCCCTCGCCAAGGCCCACCCCTCGCCAAGGCCCACCCGTGCATTCTCCAGGCAGTCCTCGCAGTCCTCTGACATTGCCCCATTCGGCAGAAGGAGCGACGTTCACAGACGTCAAGCTAACATATGGCAGGACTGAAACCTGAGCCAGTCAGAGTCCAAACTCTGCAATGCCCAAATCTCCCCTATGGTGTTTGCCAGAGAAATTATTTCTGAGAAATAGAATTGCTCGTCCCTGCAGGGGAAAATCGGGGCGACCTCTGACGGCAGCTGCTGCTAGGTAAGCGCTTCACCCTCCCCTCTGCAGGGCGCCAAGAAGAAAGGGCGGGAAGGGGGGCTCTGAAGTTGGCGCCCCTATGAACACATTTATTTTGCCATTTCTTAGTTTGTGAACCTAGAGTAGTTATAATTTAACACGTAATTAGTAACAGTGATCGCACTAATTATTGATGACAAAACTTCCTTCTGTGCTTCTGGTACACCCACAAGCTGACACCCACAA